TGTCTGATTAACACCACTCCACAGGGCAGGGGAGATGGCTCAGTAGAATAAGTGCTTCCCTGGCAAGCACAGGGGCCTGAATTCAATCCCCAGTTAAAAAAAAAAAAAAAAAAAAAGCAAAAAACACCACTCCACAGAGGCTTGCAGGATTTTAGATTTTGGTAAACTGATCATTTTCGGCTTTCTAGAGTTACGGAATGAGGTTTTAGTTCAGTCAAGGTCTGGAGAATTAAATCACACTAAACAAATCACAACATATCAAATTATAAATCAGGATGCTAATTTATTAGCTATGATTGGCAGAATGCCCACCCACTGTATCATTTGTATGGAGTTCTGTGTTTCAGGAAAAGAGGGACAGACACAGGCAAAGAAGAAAAACCAAATGATTATCAAAATCTTTGACAGGGGCCAGGGAGATGGCTCAGTAGAATAAGTGCTTCTCTGGCAAGCGCAAGGGGCTGAGTTCAATCCCCGGTCCTGCAAAAAAAAAAAAAATCTTTGACAAACAAAAAATGAACCTATTAACTAAAGAAAAACTGAACCCAGAGGATTTCATAGGTTTGGGTCTGAGCATGGTTACACATACTAGTGAACCAGCACTGGACACGAAAAATCAAAGTTAACCATGCCATGAAAGAGTCATAGTAAAGAATCCTCATTTTTCAATTCTTTAGGATCAATTGAAGAGTTATCTTAGTTATATTACTGGATTCATCAGGTAGATGAAGCAGTTATAGATCATCAGAGTTGGTTTTATCTGTGGCTATCTTATATTGTGATTGCTAATTTAAGGGTAACAACTATTTTCAAGATTTGTGAAATGAAAAAGGAAATATAATAAATATAATGTGTCATATACATGTACCAGTTTCTCACAAGGAATATAAACAGGTATGACACACCTGTACTAATAAATTTTTTAAAAGGTTTGTGATACCAACTCACTGTCAATGGCATATACACAGTTAATTCCTCTATCTCATACTGAAGTTGAGCTATTTCTAAGAATTTCAATTTCATTTCCTTCATATGTTGGTTTTGGAATTGAACTGTAAACTTTTACAAAGCAAAAGCTATTGTCTTTTATATTTCCTAGCACATGGCCAAGTATGTATGTAAAGAAAGAATAGCTATCATTTAATATTTTACAATTACCAGCATACTTATATTAGTATTATATGTCACCTTTTCCTAAAGATGCTGTGAGGCTGGCATTATTTCATTTTCTAGCTGACAAATCAGCTCAAAGAAGTTAAATGACTTGCTTGTTTAGTGTCAGAGCTGTAATTCGGACCTGTTTTCTTCTATTCTCATGCTCCATTGCAATCAGAATAAAGTTATTTTAAAGTACTACATGGTGTGTTTTTAAACTTGCTTTAAAAATTGAGGGATACCTACCTTCTTATACCAAAATATCTTTTTGTACTCTTATTATCTATTCTTTTACTTGTGTTGGCACTTTGCTTCATATAGACTTCTATGCTGGTATTTTTAAACTTTTTGTGTGTGTGTCAAGAATAACTTTTAACAGTAATAAAGCTATGGACCCACTTTTTAAAAATGAATAAGCATAAGGTTTATTAGAAGATAAAAAAAACAATTACAGGGGCTGGTGAGATGGCTCAGTGGTCTAAAGCACCTACTTAGAACAAGCTTAGCAAAGCACAGGGACCGC